TTTTTTGTGTTTAGTGGCCCTTCTGAAATAAGAAATAATAATTAGAAATTAAAGTTGTATCATATTAGCTACATTAGGCTTATTTTTGCAATTTATTCCTTAAAACTGTACAGTGCAATTTATTTTATTTTTTGTGGGGAAGAAAAATAATCACGTTGATGATGTAAACTCACTAATCAGATATAATACGCTTGGTTTTAAACGCTTAAGCTCTCATCACATTTGATCTTTCATCACTACTGCTTTCAATATTAAGTAATTAATGTGCTCCGATGCTACTTAAGGACCTGTGCAGTCCAAAGCAGATGAAAACTGTCTTTGTGCGTTAGTGTAACTCTTTCTGCTGCTGCTGGGTTTCTGGCAGGAGGCTCTGTGGAGAGAAGATGTGATGAAGAAGAAGCTGGCTGAACTCCAGGAGAGCACGACAAACCTCGTGAACTCATCCAACAAAATATGGACAGTAAGGCTCTCCCTCTGTTTACACGCATCGAATAACACACATTTCGCTCTTTATAAGGCCACACTGTTTGTCTTTCTGCTCTGGTGCACTGGCTGATGTTACGGCTGTGTCAGGAAGGCCTGTGCAGTCTGTGGTTTGGAGCTTCCTGCTTCCGCGCAATTCTATACTGCATAGGACGAGTGCAAGCTGTCGTTCTTATACAGGAAGGGTGTGCCACTCGGTAGCTGTTAAAGGTGCTATGCATCCTCTTTACGTCTCTTTTGGCTACTCTGGTTGCAATGAATGAAAGGAAAATATTGATGTTGTTTTTAGTTTTGTTTCCTCTTTAGATTTTGTTTTAGCAGCCAAGCTGATCTACAGTTGATTCAGTCTCATTTATTTAGGTCTTCCACCTGTTGTTTCTCACTGAGGTATGTTATCATGAGGGGTCTTTTTTGCACTTATAACAAAGTGCGTTGTATCACACGCAGATATTGTGATCTCCCTTGAGGCTCACTGTTGCTTCGAGTTCCCCTTATGCACCTGTGTTCGGAGAAACAACGCGCTGTCACAGCTTTTTTGGCACATGAACCATTAATTTTCCATCTGCAGGTTAGAGCGTGACAGTCATTCATTTCCTCTCTAACCCACACAGTCTCGCTGCAGTGAAGATCTGCTGAGAAACAAGATCAAGGCTTTGGAGGCGCAGCTGCAAGCTTGTCTGCAGGTGAGTGTAATTTAGTCTGTAAAAAAGCAAGCACACTAATTTTTACAATATCTTGGTGGTGATTTGTTGCTGTTGTTATTATTTATTTGCTGTCCAAGAGGTCAGACGTTTACTCTTTCCAGTAACTAGCCTTTCTCTGGCATTATTCTGTCACTGGGTGATAGTGTCGCATCTTAAGTGTGAGTCTCTGTGGTTTTGATCTGGATCTCACTGGGTGTTAACAACTAACTCAGCAGTGTTGTGTCCCTGCAGAAGTTTCCAAAAGATGGTGTAAAGAAACTGGTGGTACAGATGGAAAAGCAGAGGATGGTATATGAAGAGAAGGCCTTGATTGCCCTGCAGAAGGCCACACAGGAGAAAACCGAGGCCCTCAGCAAGGCTGAGACTCTGCAGGTCAAACATCTTTTTTTTCTCTGTTTTACCACGCAGAAAAGAAACAAGTGTCACTGAGGTTTCAGTTTGTTTGCCTTTTAGTT